TTGGGGTTGAATATACACAAAAAGCTTGAAGTTTACTCATCGTTTCTGCCTGTCATTTGCTTTGCTTGTGCCTGCCTGCCTGAATGAATGAATGAATGCTCGACTTGGCCCGCGTGCCAATTCAGGTTTTGTGGTGTGAGCGCAGCACGGGACAAGTGAGACAGGGAAGTGGTTCGGGGGCCGTTCTCCGATGCATGTGACTTTGATTGGTGGGCAGCCGGAACCCAGACGAGCAACGGCGGATCATAATAATCACTCATGCAGGCCACGCATACAGAGGGCTTGGCGCTGTGAATAATACAGTGCATGGGTGATAAGTGACATGATGAATGCAGCCTAAATGGAGCACCTTGGAGCATTCATTGTACGTACAGCGAATTCAAAGGCTACGAGACTAATTGTGCGAGAGTCTGCGAGTGAGGGGTGTGGGAATGCGGGAAGCTTACCTTATTGTTTTGGGGTAAACGGTTGAAGAATTTTTTTAAGAATTTTTCCCGGTGCCCGTTCGTTCGCCTTCTGAGCTAGAAACAGTGGCTTGCCCGGCTGCCCCCATCCATCCCTCGGCGACTCGGCGGCGGACCCGGGGTTATGCACATTAGTCGTGACTGACAGAAAAGAGAGACAGACAGAGACAGAAACAGAAAGATTGAGAACCAGAGAGGGTCTCGAACTAGTCCGGCTGAGACTTAATAATGATGATTTTGCTTCCTAATCAACCCAAGGGCGCCCCCCGTTGATCTGACTCTTTTATCATTAGTCCCAGTTGTAGTCAGAATAGTTTATTCCTACCTTACTTCTTTTCCCTCCCACTCGGAGGTTTTGTTTTACAGCGGGCTTACGTTCTCGAGACCCAGTGGTTCCGTCCGCAGGAGAGAATTGGCCGTCAGGAAGAGAGATTATCACAAGCGGTAATTCTTCGTTTCCCCTCTTTGGTTATCTTCTCCCTCTCGTCCGATCTGTGTCACATCCCGGCGCCACTTTGAGTCAACTTGTCTCAGACGAAAACACTTTTCTTGCTGCGCCGGACTCTACTGCAGTTAGGTTGTTGATCGTCGCTGCAGTCCGACTGCAACATTAGCGCCGCTGCGCGATCCCAGTCTAATCCTGTCCGCGTAGACTTTCGCAAACGTCTTGTTCCTGACACAAAGCCTCGCCCTACACTCAACCGGTTCACGGGAAACCGACTAATCATCGGTACAAGGTTTATTCCCCTCTCCAAAACCTCGCCATTCGAGACTGAAGAGCCATGGGGGAAAAGGACCCCGGCAACGGTCAGCCAGAGACCGTGAGGTCCGTGACTGACGATGTGAATGACCTGGCGCTGGCTGCCGATGAGAAGAAGCTCGTGCGCAAACTCGACCTGTACATAATCCCCCTCATCATGGCTCTGTATCTCTTCAGTTTTCTCGATCGGTAATTACCCTATTTTCTATACCCCAATTCTTGTTGGTTGTCTTAAGTTTTCCGGAAGCTCACGATTGCGCCAGAGTCAACATTGGTAACGCTCGGTTGTACGGCCTCGAGGAGGACCTCAACCTCTCGTCTCAACAGTTTCAGATCTCCGTCTCCATCCTCTTCGTTACCTATTTGCTGTTCGAGGTGCCGTCGAATCTTGTGCTCAAGCTCTTCACACCCCGCCTGTGGATCGCGTTCATTGCCTTCTCTTGGGGCATCATCGCCACGGCCACCGGCCTGGTTGAGTCATACGGCAGCCTCATAGCCTGCCGCCTCCTGCTGGGAGTTGTCGAGGCCGGTCTCTTCCCCGGCCTCACGGTGTACCTCACATTCTTCTACACCAAGCACGAGCTTGCCCTCCGCGTTGGCTATCTCTTCGTCAGCGCTGCGCTCGCCGGCGCCGTGGGCGGGTTACTCGCCTATGGCATCGGGCACATGGAGGGCGTCCAGGGGATGCGGGGCTGGCGATGGGTTTTCATCATCGAGGGTCTGCCGAGCGTGGTCCTCGCCGTGGTGACCTTCTTCGCCTTACCCAACGATGCGCAGACTGCCTACTTCCTCACCAAGGAGGAGAGGGCCTTGATGGAGGTGCGCCGGGGCCGCGAGTACGGAAGTACGGAGCAGTTCAACACCAAGGATATGAACCGTGCTTTCCTGGACTGGAAGGTGTGGGCGTTCAGCATTGCCCAGTTTGGTGTAGACACCATGCTTTATGGTAGGACCTCTCCTTTCATCTTCCGTCTTCTCTCAACTGACAATCAAACTCACCCGCAGGCTTCTCAACTTTCCTACCCACCATCATCAACAGCTTGGGCAAGTGGACTGCTGCAGAGGTCCAGCTGCTCACTATTCCGTGCTACTTCGTCGGCGCCGCCGTCTACATGGTCGCAGCCTTCCTCTCCGACCGAACCCAGCAGCGTGGTCTGTTCTGCGTCATCTTCGGCGCTGTCAGCGTCATCGGCTATGGTGTGCTGCTCGCCGACGTGCCAAGCGGGGTGCACTATTTTGGCTGTTTCCTTGTTGCGGCTGGCCTTTATGTCGTTGTTGGACTTCCACTGGCTTGGGTAAGTGATTTGGCGGTTGATAAGAGCGAGGCTGATAACAACTTGGGGACTTTGACTGACTGTAATGCCAAAACAGCTGCCAACAAATTCCCCGCGTTACGGAAAACGAACGACTGCCACAGGCCTTCAGCTCACGTTGGGCAACTGTGCGGGAATCATGTCTGCCTTCATCTAGTGAGTCTTTCCTCCAACCTCGCCCCCCTTTTGGGTGTTTTCTCCTTGCTATAAAACAACTTGTTAACAGTCGCTCCTTTCTCACAGCCCAATCGCCGACAAGCCCCGTTACATCCGTGGACACGGGGTCACGCTCGGCATGGTCGGTTTTGGCACCGTCATCTACGCGTTCATGTGGTGGTGGTATAGACGGGAGAACACTCGCCGTGATGCCGGCGTAATCAAAGAAAAGTACCAGAATCTGGACGAGGAGGAGTTGAAGGAGTTGGGCGACGACAGCCCACACTACCGGTTCACGGTGTGATTCAGTGCATACATTAGAGCAAGCGTATATATCTCTTGTCGTAGAGTATCTATCTTCGGGCGAATGCAACAGGCGCAATGGCGCGAGCATAAAATACTGCGGCCATCCGCTCCATCCTGTTTACATGCCCCTTGACCCCTGGAGTCGACAGAACGAGAGCGAGTATGCAGGCGGTTGGTGGTTGGTGAATGGATCCAAGGAGTGGTCCCCACAGTCGCCCTGCTCTGGGCGGGGTTGTATGTTTATTGCGCGGCTCCGAAGGAAGTGAGCTTATGCCGCCATCTTATGCTTGGCTCTTACATACGCCGGTGGCGGTAGTTATTCACGTCTGGAGTTATCGTTTATATTTGACTCACCTGCTTTGCCCCGCCTGGCCATCTTCCAGTCTTTCTCTCCATCCCGCCCCGGATTGATCGACGATTCAGCAGACTACCCTACATACCTTCCAAGACAATGGCATCCCCAGTCGACGCCATCACGCACGTTGTGCTGGTCCAGGTCAAGCCGGACATTTCGGCCGTCGAACGAAGATCGGTAGGCCTCCTCCCATGATTCACCCAATTGCTTCTCTGTCAATCTTAGAGGTTAACCCAACCTACACCGCCTCTCTTTTGAGATCCGGAAGGGCGGGATATGGGCTAGATGACCCGGTAAACTGAACTAGAAGTTAATTGGAACGTAGGCCTTCGAGGAATTCTATGCCCTGAAGAACAAGTGCCTCAACGCAGAAGGAAAGCCCTACATCAAGTCGATCATTGGCGGCAAGGACAACAGCCCCGAGGGCCTCCAGGATGGCATCACACACGTCTTCATCGTTGAGTTTGAGAAGTCGGCGGATCGGGACTACTATGTCAAAGACGACGCGGCGCACAAGGCCTTTGTCGAGACTCTGAAGGGCACTGTTGTCAAGGTGCAGGTTGTGGACTTTACGCCATACCGGCTGTGAGGGCGGGGCTGAGTGGTCTGCTCTGTGTGTCCTGCTAACGTTGCAGATTGAGTCTCGGTAGCGATCGTAGATCAACAAAAATATAAACAATCAACAGTATGATGACCAACCCCTTGAACGAACATCATGTTTGAGGGTAGTGGTTGAGAGGGCTTCCGTTTCTAAGCCACTGCATTCCACGGTGGCATGACCCAGTATGATATAGATGCAGACACTCAAGAGAAGCCAGCAGCTTAGAGTTCCCCCTAAGGGCCACTAAATGCCAAACAAGCTTACCTTGGGTGCGTACCAGCATGGCGACTGGCGCTGGCAACAGTTGGGCGCTGCTTCTGGCTGCCCACTGCGAATCGCAATATTAGGCATTGTTTAGCGAATTGATAGACTGGAGGCAATACGTCATTCAGCTTGCCCCACATCCCCCGCCTAACGGGAGTACAGCAGTAACACCAGCAAGTATCGGGCGGTCCCTCAGTGGGGGTTCACGGCCTTCTGGAGGCGGCGACCGCCTGCAGAGTACCTGCGATGACTTGCTGCGGTGATCAACTCGAGCAGCACTCGCACACACCTGGATGCATGGGCGCCTCGTAATTCTAGAGTAATACCAGACCCTCTTGCTCTCCTTTCAACATCACGCGCCTTGCTTGTGCTTGAACACACACATCCCGCGTCCCTTCTTCATGCGCCCGCCACCCTGATTCCACCCATTGCTCTCTGCCTGTTTGCCTCTCAGCTATAAGACCATCGACGTCTACATTGATCTACCGGGTGGGCACGCCGCCGAGCCATCGATTCCCATCGTCTCAACCGCACCTCACCTCGATCCAACACGGTACGACAGCCACCTCAATCGTCGCATACAGATCGGGTCTCGATACGAACCTACTCTCTATCCATCTGATCGCACCACGTATGTCTCTCCCTCATCTGAGTCTACCCATACAGGCCTTTGGGGGGTTGTCAATCTAGAGCCGGGCCTCACAAAACTCCTTGCAGACAAAACCAACAAAAACATCACCGTGAGACGGCAGAAGGGATAGAATCCCCCCAGACCGACACGATGGCGCAAGCTTCCCATCCAACACTTATTAATCTCCCACCCCCCGACTCCAATCCAGAGACTCCAAATGAGATGCCGTGCGTTTCTATTCCATTGAGCCACCTCACATCCCCTTTCCAGCATCATCTACACTACTGTGATCCTCCTCTCCGAACTCCGAGCTGAAATTGTTTAGGGGTACGCCTACAAGTACCACCACATCCCTCAGTGCGCTCTCGACAACCGCTATCAAGGATGGCCACCGTGGTCATCTCCCCAGTGGCCCGCTCGACCGTGGCCACCAGCATAACCCCTCCACAACTAGCCTCGAAGCCGAACGGGCTGATCGCATTTCTCGACTTGCCGGCCTCGAACGCGTGTCCACACTCCGTGCGCCTCCCCAGGTCCAGACGGGCGGATCTACTGGCGCTTCGTCACTGTCTCCCCAAACAACACCGACTTCGACCGGCTTCCCTCCCAACTATCCCGCCACCCACCCATTGACACCCGCCTACTTTGATAACAATGGCCAGCCAGTTGCTGTCACCAAGATGAGCACTGTAGGGACCGCTAGTGCAACGGAGAGCCATGTTGGCGAGGGTGATGATGTCAGAACAACAGCCGGCGAACGCGATGAGGATATGTTCAGTACGGATACAAACTACCGCGGTGCTGGTTCAGTAGCCAGCACAGCGCCGGATCCTGATGCTATGGACGAAGATCTGGACCGACTGGGTACCGCGTATGATGACCGGATGAGTGATGATGGCTCTGCATCCTTGGTCGGCTTTGGTGAAGGTGCTGGAAGCACCGTATCCGGACCTATTTACCATCGACGACCCGTACCAGGCTCAGCAGCTTCATGGAATCTGGAGCGCACAAACTCCGGACTTAGTGAATCTCGGAGGGATCGCGATACCCCGATGGCAGGAGGTGGCGAGACCCCCGTCACCCAGGCAGCAATCCAGGAACGCCGAGATGCTCGGATGATAGACGGGGTTGCTGCTGATCATGCTCAAAATCCGCGTGAGACTGAGCAAGGCGGCTTCGTCGATACCACTTTCCGCGGACCTGTCCCCGAAACAAGATCGCATGACTAGGGGATATTGGCTTTTCTCATGTTGCAACGTTGAATGTGTTTCGGATATCTAACCAACCTGTGGGGTAGTTTTTGGGCTCTTACACAGCCACAGAGGCGCCAATAGTTCGGCTTTGTTCATGCAGAGGGACCAATGGAAGACCTATGCGGTACGGCGTTGGGGGTGATATGAGATGTTGGGCTGAATGCAGCTGGCAGGAAGGAAAGAGGCATAGACAGGAACAAAGGGGGTTGTCTTGATTTCACACAGGCCGGGTTTTCCTTCTCACCTCGTGCGCCATTTCCCTTCCTCACTACGTTTGTACTCTATCGATTTCTATGTGTTCTCTTTATGTGTAACTTCTCAACGAGCCAAAAGCAGGCTCGTATCTTGACAGTTTGGAGTTTCGTCTAGCTGGCTAGTCAAATTCAATTTCTTGAGAAGCACAAACAGCTTATACACGCCACGCCCAACGTTGGTTCTCGTCCTCTTGAATTTGCAGTGTTCCTCAAAAGCGCCGAGATAGAAATGCAGGGATAAAACTGAACCTGCGTAATATCAGCCATACCAGATTGCACTATTCGGTAAGGAGCCCGGGCTTCGTCCCCGCATACAGAGGCTCATCGTAGAAGGCGTCATGGTACATGGTGGTCAGATTGATTAATCGGAATTATTCAGAAGGAATACGACCCTTCTTGTCTAATATTAGGTGGTGCTCTATCTAAGGCATGCTTTTATCTCGTCAATCATGGGCCGCGTCGACTCTGGACCGTCATTCTATCTATATTGGCCATCTTTACAGAGCGACAGCGGCCTATATTTCTGGTTACCGGTCTTCAACCAGCCCGCTAGCTGTAGCTTTTAATTGTCGGCCCAGTCTGGTTTGCGAAGGTCGTCCATGGATCCCGATGAGCAGATCGCTCGAGATGTGACCTCCTAAGAGCTAGCCCCCCTCATGGATGGGAGACATAGCTCGGAACGTATATTTGCGCAGAGGAGTCTGCAAAAGAGGAATACTATGGGCCGGTTTGCCCACCCAAGCTCTCACCCCCTGGCGAGTCAATCGTAGGGAGTAGTGGTCCTGCCATGGATACCTTCCAGCCACTTTCACCAAATTGGAACCAGCGTGGCGCTGGTCAAGGCGGCGATACTGGATGACTTGTCTAGGCGCGCATGCTATGGCTTTGCTCTGGTTTTGGTCGGCAGCGCACCGCATCTCGCATCAAGTCAGATCCCTCACTGTGGAAACAGTGAGGTGTTGCGTCAATGCAGAGGACAACGTTATAAAAATGGAATAACAGGTTTTGGTCAGGTATTTGAGAAGCATACAGGAGTTTGGCAGGTATCTTGAGAGTAATAGAGAAAAGAAGAGAAAAGAGAGAAAAGAGAGGAGGAGGAAAATAGAAGAGAGAAAGATAAAATGGGCGTCTGATAATGCCCCATTACCGATCCCAGGCATGGCATCAAGCCATAGCTCCTCTTGCCCTAGAAATCATCAGGCGCTGGTAGCCCGGAACGAAATGTAAATCAATATGTCGCCAACCATCCAGTGATATTCGAGAAGCAGAATTCCGCCCATTATCTTCTATCCGTCCCCTTATATCATCAAACCAAACGCCAGCCGTGAAACGTGTCATTGACAGGTCGACAAAAGAAAAGAAAGCCATCACGCCACCGCCCACTTGTTCAAGTCAAAATTCAGAATCGTCGTTGCGTCCGGAATGTCGAACGGTTTCGTATCATTGTGTGCGTGTGAAACTGTTGACGTTGGTTGCCAATATGTGGAGTGTCCGGGAGGACAGTTATTTCTCTAACCCAGGAGGTGCCTTCCAAATAATGGTCCGAGAATAGATGAGGGACAGTATGCAATGAAGCACTGCGTACCTTGAGAGAGATGCCATGCTGGGAGGGCTTCAAATGATTTTGCAAACCCGGTTCAAGCATCCCTTGTCCTTTTGTGAGAGTCGGAGAGCGTCGTTTGAAGAAATACCTCTCCTCTCTGATGGCCCAAGTCTCAGGTGCAGAGGATGTCGATTCCCAATCGCTGAGCGACGCCCTGCCAGTCCCAAACTGCTACCCAATCACCTTCATCCATAAGAGTCCACACGGCTTCGAGGAGCTCTGCGATCCGGTCACAGTTACGAAGGCCTGTGTACCCTCTCACGGCTTTTAATGCCTTGCGTAAGCGATCGCGTTGTTCAGTGGCGAAACAAGCAATGCCCACAAGCATGCAAGGAATGAGCAACAGAGTCTGGGCTGGCTCGGAAGAGCTGAAGGTTTCAAAGATGTTCAGAGACTCCTCAACAGCAGTCGTAAGACGGTGATCATCGCTGGGGCGACGCTTAGGGGGAGGTGATTGGGTAAGTAGCGAATCCAATCCACTCGAGCTCGATGAAGACGTGTCACCCTCATGCATTGAGTTGTTTCGGGACGGGTTCCGGGACGAGGGGCAGCTGTGTGGCATCCCGTTGCCGGGCTGTGAATGCAACGAGCTAAGGACAGGGGCTGATGCAGTAGAGACGACACTCGCAGCCATCGAGGGCCGTCTCTGTGGCGTTGAACAAAGTGAAGACATTGAAGAAAAGCTCGAAGGCCTTTGTCGTAGAGGCATTGAAGGAGGATATATCGTTCGAAATAGATAGATGAAGAGCATCTGCTTGTACAACAAGCCTACGCGGTTGCGGCTATCTCCGGGCGGCCAACGGGGTACCCATTCCTGTATTGCCGTGTTGATTTCTGCAGCACGAAACAGCATAATGTAATCAACCGGGGGGTCGTTGGAGACGGTCATGTTATCTCGAATCGTGTTCCTCAGTGTTGTGATTTCGGTCAGGTGTTGCAACAGGCCATCGGCCACCCCGAGCAATCTAGGCGTCTGGATGGACGTTGGTGTCTGCCAGTCTACCGAGGAAAGACGCCCGATTCGCGTGTCCGGGTGCCACATTAAATCGTCAGCATAGATGTGGTACTGAAAGAACTCGGTAATGAACGTGGAAAACACAGTATCCTGGGGTGGTGAGTGCTCCATCAAAGTTTGGTAGGCCTGGAGATGGAGTCTGTGTTCACCAGTTGTATTACCTTCCGTCAGGGTCTGGAGCAACCTGCACAAGATTTGGCCATATCTGGCGGATAGGGTTGTCTGGTACTCCTCGGTGAGATACTCTGGATCTTCTTTATCGACGGCATTGGCGATATCCTCGTAAAATCTCTTGATGGCCTCGTCGTGATGATAGTCCGATCTGCTCTGAAGAGCCCGCCGGTTGGTTGTAGGGTTCTCCTGGATGATTTTGGCGCCATATGGAGCATCAAAGTCAATGTGCTTGCTGCTCACAGATAGGATGGCGTGCATGAGTCCTTGGTGGCGGTTTGCTAGGTGAAGAATGATATCCTTGAAGGCATTCTTGGCCTCTCCTTCCACTGTTAGCACGTTGCTGAAATGGTTGATGTAATGCTTCCAGAATATCTTGTCCTCGACGGTCTCAACACAGTGGAAGAGCGGCTGCATGGTAATTGACGGGAGGGTTTCCTGCCTCAATCGTTCTGCTTTCGGGGGTTAGATGAGAATTTTGCTAGCATGTTGCATCAACTGTCAGTCCTCACCTTCTTCAGCCTTCTCCTTCCCGCTCTTCCAAATTTGTTTTTCATGATATCCCTCGCAAACCACCGCATTCTTCTCACAGTTCATACCTAAGAAGGGGTAAGCGTCTGGGAGAAAATCAGGGGAGGATACTGCGTCTGATGCATACACCGAGGCTTAGCTTCATCACACTTCTTCTTTCGTTTCCGGCAAGTGATACAGCCAGTCTTAGAACGACCTTTGGTAACTTTGTTTGCATTAATGATGGGGGTAATTGGGTGCTTTCGAGGTCTTCCTCTTGGCCGCTTGAGCTTTCCCTGTGGCACGGGTGCCAGTTCCGACGAGGCTGGAGGACCGGCAGGAGGGGACTGGAGGGTTTCAAGACTGAAGTCTTCTTCAGTCGGCTCCAGCTTGGGGACCGTGAGAGCATCATCTGAACCCTGCTCCCACCGAAGGTCGCTCTCAGTGTCGTCCCGATCAGCATTCCCAGAGCTCCAGGAGCCCGTACAGGAGGAAGCCGTCGAGTTTGCCAATGTCGGCACGGAGGAGATGTCGGGCTGGAGATCCATGTTGGTGCTGGTCAGGGCGAGCGGTCCCGGTTGAGCCTTGGTGATGCCTGATTGGCCAGCCCAGGTTGCCATTCGAAGATGGTCGGGCATCAGACCATGAACACCTTCGTCAGACGACATGCTACGATTGTCTGCCCAAACCGCCTCTCGGGCATTGGGGAGGAAGGTGGAAGCCATCTCGAATTCCATAACCCGTCTCTAGCAGACAAAGCCCATACCAAAGAAAGACAAACGGAGAAGAACCCAAAACTATCCTTGGCGATGAAAGCGAAGTGAAGCAAAATAGGACAGAATAAGGAATCACTCGCTTCTGGGGATGAAGGGTACAAGTAAGGTTGGCCTGGGGAGGGTTTCTGGGATCATGGGGCCACGACTGGCTGCAAGAGCTATGTGGAGCTGGCAAACGGTGGTGGAGATGGAGCTATGCTGGTGTGTGGCTGACCGGGATGGGATGGGATGGGATGGGATGTGATGGGTGAAACTGGATTGGCCCATCGGCAGCACACAGCACTGGCGGCTGAGAGAAAGCTCGCGCTGGCTCCAAGAGAGGTTGAAGATCCTAAAGAAATGGAGAGGACGAGGAAGGGATGCTGGAGGGGCAGAGGGTGGGGAGGTCTTATTAGCTGGTGGCCCGGGCTTTCAACATGGACTCGACGGCCCACGATGGAGGTACCTTACCTCAATCCACCTACACCCTACACACCACGGAGGTCGACTCTGTGCAGGCTGGCTAGGCAGGTAGAGGAGACCTCCTGCAGCCTGTTGCGATGCCTGTTCCCTGAAAGGCCATCTAGACTGCCTTGGCTGGCCTAAGTATACATCAAGCTGCCGGGTCCGATGGGCCATGCTGCCACTGCTCACGGCCAACAGAGATG